TGCTGTTCTTTTAGCCTCTCACTTCTTTTCTACCTCTAGCTCTTCCACTTTTCCATCTGTCTTTGGGGTCCAGTGATTTACTGATCTATTCTTGAAGAGCGACTTGAGTGTGTCTCCAGACCTTGTTTTGCATGACCCAAATGAATTACTGATGATGGTGAATATAGAGAGTGTATTACATATGATACCAGTGCTAACTGTCTTGAATTTGATGGTCATTGTATGGTCATATATTTAGGAAGAAAGGGCATAAAATATGTAACTTATTTCTTAAATGGTTTAAAATTTAACAATAAAATAGTAAGATGATATGTAGAAAGCTATGTAGACAATTAGGATAGATTATGTATACAGAGGTAGGTAGACAGGTTGGGTTGGAGTTCATTTTGCTGTTCTTGAATCTTTTCTGTAGGTTTTAAAAATGTTTTTTAAATGTTTCTGGATGAGAAAAAACCTTGCTAACAGGTAGACTCAGCGAGACATATATTCATAAATGCTAATTCTTTCATTTCTCAGAACAACCCTATGAGCTGCTTGCTATTACTGTCCCTGTTTTAGCACAGGACCCTGAAGCACAGGTACCATAAGGACCTTGTTCAAGGTCATACAGCCAGTGAAGGTAGGAGGACTCAAACACTGACATGTATATTTCTGTTTTCAAAACATTGTGCATATGAATTAGTTTGAACTACATAGAAATTTCTCTTTTACGATCATGTCTTACCTATGAAATGCAATTTTATTTGACTCTCCCTAGGAGCAGGCTTGCATCTCCTTGTAATGATTGCTCTGCTGTGTCTTCATGACCAGGCAGTGGGCCCTCTGGGAGGTTGTGTCCCTCTAACTCATTATGAACTGCCTGGCCTGTTGCTGACCATTTGCTGAGTGTCCCTGAATGAGCAGTAATAGCCAAAACAGCTTTGATTACTTCTCTGCTCACTCTTCATATATATTTCATTTTGTTGTATCTCCTATCCAGAAAAGGGGTGGACATAGTTAGGAAAGATACAGCCTCATCAGTGATAACTGCAACATAATCAATTATTTGATTTCAAGAGAAACCATTTAACTAATAAAGACATTAATTTAAAACATGCCCACTAACAAGATAACCTCTCAGTTCAGGAACCCAAAAATGTAAATCATTTGGGCTCTCCACTAGCATGCAGTGATTTTGGCTAGAGAGTATGTGGTACTCAGAATGCCATCCTCTCGTGTCCTTATTTGAGCAGTAAACACATTTTAAAAGCACATCGTGTTGTCTCTAAAAATAAGCGATATTTCAAAATGAAAACCAGTGCAAAAGAAGTTGGCACATCTGGTAGTCAGAAAAGTTTTACAGTTTGTTTGTAGGGTATGACAAGCCAAGGAACATTCAGACTTGGCCAATTGCAAACTTTTCTTCTATCTGTGATGACACCTGGTTTAAAAAAAGTTGGCTCCAGGCATAAAGCAGAAAGAACATTGGAAACGGGCAGAGAATTAAACAGCATCATTTACTATCTTAATTTTGTGCAAGGAATTATAAAGAACTGTTTTCTTATTTTAAGAAAAGAACAGAACATAAAAGTAAAGGCAAGCATGAGACAATAATAATGGTAATAGGTGACATCTTCTGAATACCTACTATGTGCTACACAGTGTGTCGGGTCGATTATGTTTGTTGTTGACACTAGATGTACAGAAGCCTTATGAGGTGGTGATGTTTCCTTCATATTTTACAGAGTCGACAGAGGGATAAGGCACACAATTCTAGTAATTAAGCCCGAGTCACACAGCTAGCCCGTCCCAGGCAGGCAGTCTCCAAAGTCCACACTCCAAAGCGCTGCATGATACTCAATAGCCTGGAGGTGTTCATTATGTCTGGCATTATGAAAAAGAATTAAGAATTAGATTGTTACATCAACCACAGTGGCTCTTGGTCAAACAGTTGTTTGCCTCACTTGTGAGACAGATGATGCCCTTTCCCAGAACATTCTCCTGGTTGCACATAAACATTACATGTTCCTAACAAATTCACCACTCATTCTCATGCTTCAAGGCTGTCATCTTTGACACTTGTCAAAAGCTGTCACTATTCTATGGTTAGACGGTGTTAAAGACGGACCAGTAAATTTGAAAGTAGAAAGTAGTAACATAAAAAAAAAATGATGAAGATATTGGGAAGGGAAAGAATAATATTTCATTATTATAGGACAAAGAAATAATGAAACTATAGTAATCCTGAGTAGAGGATTACATGGGCAACCCTGACCCATATACAATTCTGTTCCCACTGGCTTTTATCTTCCATTCAACCTAGCCAACCTAGTTAGCATACTGTGGAGAGACATCCGTGATTTGATGCAGCTGGAGATTTCTAAAAACGACATTGTGTTTTTAAAAGACAATCAGACTTCCATATTGGTCAGTATTTAGTATTTACTGTAACTATTTTTTCATTTTCCTTTATTCATTCTTAATCTTTTTGGGCAGTGTTTGTGGTGTACTATATAACAGACCCAGGGCTAAGTGCTTAAGGATGCAGAGACATCTCAAAGATTTTGTCCATAAAAAGCAATAAAGTATAAAAAATGAGTAAAGGATAGGCAGGTAAACAGTCAAGTTCCCTGTCATTTTTTTTCATGTGCCAGGGCAGCTGTGTTACCGAAATGAAAGGAAGAATTTGTCACATTTACCCAGTGGCCAGTGGGGAAGGGAGGCTTTAGAGGAGGAACCTTTGAATAGAAACCTTAAAGATATGGAGATGCTCATGAGGCCAGTAAGTCAGGGGAAGGGTTTTCCAGGCAAGAGAGAAGAGCATGAGTAACACAAGTGTTAGATGACATTTTCAGTGTTCATATAGGTATTTATTGATTCAAAGATACATTTTTTAAAAATCACAGTATCTCAGAAACTGGACACCATGCCAAGTTTAAGTAATTGTTCATATTCTTACTGGTACATAAAATAACAGTATTTCTTATGGTATGTGACATTTTAGAGTTGAAAAATCGAATCTGGCTTTGTGATCAAGTAGTATTTCTTAGATGTGCTCTTTTAGCTGCTCATGTCTTTGTTCTAGGGGACAGATAGATATTAATACTCTTTTATTAAACAGGAAATAGGCCTGAAATGGTTGAATTCCTTGTATGAGTATATGGTATTCTGTTTGATTGGATACTTGACATCTGATGTTGTTTTTAATACTAATAGCTGGTAATAATGGAACCTGGGGACACAATTTAGAGTTCTTATGTACTGAATTAGAGATTCTGAGCATCACATTGCCTTTTTCTAAGGTGAAAAGTAAGTTTGAGTGCAAATGAATTGGAGTTTGCAAATATATTTCTTTTATGATGCATTATACAAAACTGTACCCACCATTCTTGGTTTCAAGATGAAGCCCTTGTAATATGTTGTATGAGCTGTGGAAACAGAATATCTATAACTGATCAGGCTGCAGGTGAGGTTGTGGCTAGTATATCTAAAAAAATAAAACCAGCAATTTCCATTGAATCTAATGATCTTATAAAGTATTCATAGAAGAAACTAAGCATCCTGGAGCCCCAGCTTAAGCACCCTATCAGCATCAGTGTCAGCTGTCATTAAATGCTTATGTGACACTGCTAGTCAGTTATCACTTGGATTTTCTGGGAAGCTGGACAAGCACCTAGCTCCTGCAAGCTACTGATGCTGTGATTCTGCCAGCATTTTTGAAATGTGGCTGTATTGACGGGCACGTGATGATTACTCCAATGTCTGGTTTGTCTTTTGGTTTTAGGGGCTCTTGGAAGAAAATGTTAGAAAACGTAACAGGTAAAGGCACTTTTTAGTGTTGATTTAATTTTGGGGAAAATGGAAAAGGAAATTATGCTCCTTAAGGCTAAAGAAATTGTAGTGACACTGTTTGCTCTCAAATGCATCAGTAAAAAAGATGAGAAGTTGAGTGAGAAAAGTTCGGAGCCTAATTTGCAAAAAATTGAGATAATTATTTTATTTGTTAAAAGAGCAATTAGGATGTACAGTTATTGATGCTTTACAAGGTAATTGACAAAGAGTGTTAAAGAACATGCATATAAATAGAATGTCTAGAATGATTCAATTATTAATATTTTTATAAACAAGTCTTGGTGGTGTTTGTTTTTTCCTTTTTACTTCTCCATAATGACAGATTTTTGTGGACTTCTCCCTTTGGGTATGTACCCAATTTTTCTATCCTGGAGGATTTTAACTAATGAAAATGTAATATCTATGTCAGATTTAATCACTGTGTTGCTTTTCAAAGGAGTATTTTCTGGTTTTCTCATCTTGATTTTTTTTTTTTTAAATGGGATATAGTTCTAGTGCCTGTGTTTTCTGGGATCAAGATTAAAAAAAAAAACAAAAAAGATCAAGTTTGGAAAGACACAGCCAGACTACACCCTTTTAAAGAGGCTTTTTGGAAGTCCAGATTTGGAGTGAAATAAACCAGTAAAACAGGTTTTTTTTTTTTTTTTTTTTTTTTTTTTTTAAAGCAGTGTCAACCTTCCTTGCTGGATGATTCAAGATATTAGCTATTTCTAGAGGGAGGGGGAAACCCAACTTGGTTCAATACAGGTAATTCTCTCTACTTACCACCGTAGCCATATCAGTAAGGATATTATATGACTCTCATTGTAATCAGAATATGATTGTCACATGGAAGGAATAAAATTTAACCACATTTTGAATGAGTGGCAATTTGGAAGAGGTTCTCTTGTAGCATTGTGGCTTTTTTTTTTTTTTTTTTTTTTTTTTGTGGTACCTGGGGTCGCACTCATGACCTTGCGCTTGCTAGGCAGGCTTTCATACCACTGACCTGGCCGTATGGTTTTTTCATTGGAATTAAAAGAAGATGCTTTGGTATAATCAATACTAAAAAGAGAAAGAAAATCCAAGGATTGTCTCTAAAGATGGGTCCTGATATGCGTGTGCATACGTGTATTTACTGATTTCTGATGTAAGGGACATGAAAGCTAACCTGATTCATTTGTTTTTAGGGGCTCTTGGCTTTGGGCCTCAGTGCAAGTCCATTGGAAAAGGCAGCTGCAACAATCTAGTGGTCACCAGCAGTCCCATGATGGTTCAGCGACTGGGACCCATTTCACCTCCAGCAAGCCAGGTCTCTACAGCATGCAACCAGATCAGTCCTAGCTTACAGAGGGCAATGAATGCAGCCAACCTGAATATACCTCCTTCAGATACCAGGTCTCAAATTACTTTTTTTCCCCCCTTCTTTATGGTATAATCACACCCCATGAGTGTTTTTCTTTCGCTTCCTGTACAGACAAACACATATACACATATGCATTTTCTCTCTGTCTCTCTCTCTGTCTCTGTCTCTCTTCCCCCTTTTATCAAGCAACTTCTCCAGTTTGAACTTTGAAGGGCAATGTGTCTAAAAGCTGTGTGCTATCATATCCTCTTAACTGAGAAGAATGGTTTAATATCTGCTGTCTTGTGCTATGAGTGAAATAAATGCCCAGTTTGAAATTGTGGGCGGTCTGTAAATTTGTAAGTTCCTGGTGAAGCAGGTCATACCAGAGCCTAGCACACATGTATCCTACCTGCTAGCTCTTCAGAATGTACACTACAGAATATCTAGGTTGCTTTCAAGCTGTATTGTAAATCCATCTTTCTATCCATCCACCCACTTACTCAAATATAGATTAAACACCAACTATTTGCATAATCCAGTAGTCATAAATTTAGGATACCTGGGGCTGGGGATTTAGCTCAGCGGCATAAGCGCCGGCCTTGCCAAGAGCATGTTCGTGAGTTCGATCCCTGGTACCGATAAAAAAAATAAATAAATAAATAAAATAAAAAATAAAATACATTTAGGATACTTGAGCCATATACCATATGTGGTCCTTTGCATGGGTTGGCCATAGAGGGATTATTGTTTCTGTGTTTTCTGACATATTTGATTCCTTAGCATAATTTTATACCCTTAAGGTTAGGGTTAATAGAGAGAATAAAGGTAGAAGTCATGAATTCTGAGACTTTATATGCCTAGGAAGACATATTTTATATCTGTGTTACATAATATTTCAAGCCAGTGTCTGATTAGATAGTAGAATAAGTAAATAGAATAAATGCCATAGAGCCAGCTCCATTGGGAAGAATCGAATAGAAAAGAGAAATCACTTCCTCAGATAAATTTTTTTCTTCTTCAAGGTCGATGGTGGAGGGGGGTTAAAACTCCCAAAATACTGTGCAATATTTAAGCTCCATTTCTCTTAGAAGTTATTTGTTTGATTTTGCAGTTGTTGTCTTGGGAAACTACAATACAAATTTTTTGTGGCTAAGTCCTGTTTTTACTGTAACTGTGATCTTGCCCAGGAATTTTACTCTCTGGGTCTCTGCTTCCTCTTCTTGGGGGGCTGTAACCTGCTAAGGTGCCCTGAGGTTCTGAGACCTTGCTTCCTTCTGCCTTTTTTTCCCCTCCTGCCCCTCTTTTCCTTTCTTGTCTTCCTGCACTATCTTCCTAGCTGCTATTTGAGACTCTGAAATCATAGTTCCTGGATCATTTATTTATGCCAATTTTTTCATGAGGTGGAAACTTGTTTTTCAGCTGAGACTTTTTGTGATGGGAAGCTGCTGTCATTTTCCCATTGATGATTATGCCTTGAGGGACTCCTCAGACTTGCTGAGTGCTGCATGTAAAATTAACTGTGCTCATGGGTGGGTGTCACCAGGAAGTCTTCAGCTTCCTGTCTGTGGCAAGTCCAGCCCATGCCTTGAAGGCAGAGTCATAATTAATGGAGTAACTATGGTAGGGAGAGCACAGGCTGTTTAAGCCATGTACCTTATGCAGTTCCTTTCAAGGGTCAGCCAAGGAGAGGTCATTATCTCAGTGTTTTCTGGCATATTTGATTCCTTAGCATAATTTAACATCCTTAAAAGACAATACCTTTAAAAATGCACTGACAAGTGTTTTTGACTATGTATTCCATGAGCCTTTCTCCAAGAAAAAATTTTTTTTGCAGGATAAGCAAAGAAACAGGAGTTAAGAAGTGGCTTTATGAGGGACGGAACCTGCTTTCTGCAATTTGGAAAGGTTGCATATTATTTGTGATCTTTAAATTGGTTTTTGCGTTCCATCAGAAGAAAGGCAACAGTCTGCCTTGAAGGCATTTTATAGGCTAGAGATACAGACAATAGTGAAAGAACCAGCTTAGAGTTTTACCTGTCAGGGGCCTGCTGGGGGGGCGGGGTAGATGCCAGCAGGAGAGGGCTTGAATGGTTCAGTTTAAGAAACCTGCCCTAGGAAAGTCTGAAAACGTGTATTGTGTGTTTTTTTTGATTACCTATGTAATTCTTATTGATTGTAGAAAATTCAGTAGATTTGCAAAGACATTAGGCAGTAAATTATAGTCTTTCTAAGTTCTGTCTCGCAGACCTTTAGGTGGAATTTTAATAATCATGTATCCAGTTATACGTAAACACGTATCTAACAAGCATTTCCTTCCCACCAAATTGACCTATTACTGATGTAGTTTTTATATTACTTTTTTTTAGTTTGTGTATTATAAGCTCTTTTGTAATACAAATCATCATCAGTGTGGTTAATGGTTTCTTCCTGCTCCCAAATTCCATCTTATAAAAAGTATATAAATAAAATTTAATTCTTACCAGTTTTTTTTAAATTACTGAACATTTTGTTCTTTCCTCCTATTTTTGTGTTACACTTTATTAGGTTGACCCTTTAAATCTTTCATTGCACATTTCTGGTTAGTAGACATAAAGTCTTAGAAGTAAACTTTGCTAAAGGAAATGTACAGGTTTTTTCTTCTTTTTTTTGACGGTACTTGGGGTGTTTTACCACTGAGCTCTATGCCCAACCCTATTTATGTGAGTGTGTATATATTGCTAAATTTCCCAGGCTGGCCTCAAACTTGTGTTACTTTTATTTTGGCTTCCCAGGTAGCTAGGATTAGAGGCACACACAGTATGCTGGTGGGAATGTACAGTTTGATGGTCTTATGCATATTCTTAAACTGCACTGCTGAAAAGACTTCCTTGTTTATAAATTCACCAATATAGTCCAGGAGATTGCTTGTTTTTTCAGACTATATCAATATTAGGTGTTATTATTTTTATAAGCTTGGAAATTTTGAGGTATAAAATGTTACTTTATATTAATAGGTACTTTTAAATTATTGATGATTTGAATAGTTTTCATGAATTTATTTGGCTGCATTTTTTTTTTTGAGTTCATTTGAGTATATTTATCTCTTGGGATGCTTACTTTTTAAAAAGGGCTTCTTCCTTATCTTTGTTGGGTTCTGTTTTTATGCTGTGTACTTGCTTTGATTAATTTCCCAACCATTTTTGACTAGCTCACCTTAATGATAAGTGCAAACTATATCTTTTTGTATTGAAGATCCAGCAGCCAGGCTCAGTTCAAGCATCTGTAAAACCCTGTGCTACAGAATCCATCATATGTAGTTTTCCTAAAGTGACAATGCTGAGCTACTCACACAGTAACTGTGTGTATTGGTTTCATGTCATAATCTGGCAAATGTTAGGCAGAAGAAATGTTATGCTACTTGCATGGGCTTTAAAAAAATATAATTAGCTTTTCCACAGGCATTGTGATTCTGCATCTTATAACTGAATACTCACACAAACTGCAAGTATTATTCTGGTTGAAGACGTAATGAGCCCAAAACAGAAAGTCTAGATGATTTGTCACTTAGCTTGTCAGTCACAAAGTTTATTCATGACCTAATAATGTCCTCCTGTGTCCTCAAAGGCACCATATTTGTTTTTGTATTCTAGACCAGAAATTCTTGGAGGTAATTGTCATTTTGTTCACTGTGTCCACAAAGCTCAGAGGAGGCCAAGGGGGCTGAGAAGGACTCTAGGCTCTTTGTAAGTTCTCTCATTTTAAAAACGGTGTTCTGGGTTCAGAGGCCGTGCCACTTCTTTTAGATTTATTGAGGAGCATAGAGAAGAACTTCCAGATGGAGTAGGATTGGTCTCTTATTCCATGATCTATGTATGTATCTCTCTCACACACACACACACACACACACACACACACACACACACACAGAGGTTTGAGTATCAGTATGAGGAATTCTACATAATTTTTCAGTTAGAATTTCTTTGAAGCTTGGCAATGAACCGAGCAATTCAACCTGATAATCATACCTCTTATGGCTCCATGAGAGTTTCTCAGGTTTTCCTTCACCAGCTATCCTAATCTTGCTGATGGTTTCTAATTTTTTTCATATCAGTTTTATTTTGAGATATATCTTATTCCCTTTCACATATGGTTCCAAATAAAGCAATCCCTAGAAATAATACCCTTAGGATCAGATGGACATACGAAAATAGAGACTGCTCCAATATGGTGACACAGTTTTCTGGGCTCTTTGTCACTTTCCCTCCTGCAGTCCTGGTATGAGTAGCAGCGGAGGTTAGAGGTGAGAATCCTTAGCAGTCTTCACAGGCATTCAACATATTGTTGCTGACAGAACTGAAAATTGGTGTTCCAGCCATAGCTTGTGTGACTTTAAGCCTGTTTTACCAAGCTTTCAGTCTAACGGAGCGTTATGTACCACATGTGAGGTGCAATGTGAGAACAACAGCAGAAGATGGATGTGACTTAGTTAGGTCTGTGCCTATCCAGCACGACTTCACTGTACTTCTCTAAGGATTCTTGCCACAACCTACCAACTTTTTAGTGTCGCTGGCAGGAATTTCACAGAATCTTGGTTTTATGTTTTGTATAACAAAAATTGTTAAAAAAAAACCCCAACCCTTACCTTGCATGCTGTATCTAATAATATATAGGGAAAATGCTTTGTAAGCTATAAACAATGATGATTATTTATTCACTTTATTAAATGGGAAATGTTTTGAGGACTTAGTAGCTCTAGTAGCTACTGGGAAGATAAAAAAATCATCCCTTCTATTGAAATGCTTTGAATTTTATTGAAGACATCAGAGCTGCTTCAAGGTATAAGGCGTAGACGCTATGTAACTGTTTTGGAAAGAGGATTCTTACTGAGAGCTAGTGTATTGGGGAGAGAGTCCCTGCATTAGAATGTTGAAAGATGAAAAGGTTTAGGTAATTGTATAGGAGGAAGACTGGCTGCTTTCAGGAAAAAGCCATTTGTTGGAAGTATTATTAGGTGTTCAAGATAGAAAAAACATCAAGAGGAAGAGGGAGAGGAGGAGAGAAATCTATTGATAGTATTGCTTTAATAACAGAGTGTGCAATTTGATTTTTGAAAAATAAATGATAGCAGCTTTAGAAAACTGAGACATCCAAGGAGTAAATCAACATACCTGCACGGAGTTATGCTCAGATTTAAATTAAGCCATAGTTGGATGTAATTTGAGAGAAGCAAGAGTCATCTCTCAACAATAGAACAATGAGCATGTCTAACTGCAGATTGCTTTTGAACCAAATCATACAATTGCTTAATCCAAGTTTACAAAGGTGGATAAAATATTTTGTCTGTTAGTCACTGCTTAAAAATCTACAATGTGACATTGATAGGCAAATGCACCCCTGAGAGTGAACATCCACGCAGGAGCATAGCATAGTGTCTTCATGATCTATAAACCTTCTTGATGTCAAGGTGTAAAGCAAAGTCAGTTCTCCTGCTTCATATAGGACACAAGGACTTATTTAGCTTGGGTCTGAAAACAACTCCTAAATCTCACTAGGGAACGGACAAAAAGGCCCTCGACATCCAGTCACCAGGAGCCTTCTGCTGAACACTACAGAAACAGCCACATGCTCTGAGTGTGCTAAGAACATAATTGGAAAGTGTCCACAGGGAATGAAAAAGCCCCAGATGGTTTAGAAACCACTTTGGGGCTTGTGAAGGACTTCAGCCCAAATGAAAGGATAAGGACCAAGAAAAAATCTATGTCAAGGGCAACTGGACATAAATTCCTGCTGTATTTGTCATTGGTAAACATAGCATCACCCAGTTGTAACATCATGTCAGTCACAGCATTATCACCTTCTGCTGTGCATTTCAGAGCTGAAATGTTTTCTTCCTAATATGCTCTTCTCTCTCTTCCATTTTGTGACATAGAGTAAGAGGAACAGGAGGATGGAAATGCCTGTTTACTCAGATTCTTTGTAATAGATTGATGATTAACAGCTGAATATAGTAAACATGTTCCTTTTGAGAAGACACACATTTTATAACATTTTGTTGTGGTTGATTTTTTGATCCAAAATGGTATCTTTTTTTTTTGTACCACAGATCAAACAAAAAAGGTTCCTTTAGAAAGCAAGTGTGTGTATATATGAAAAAACAAAGTTTTTTTTTTTTTTTTTGCTATATACTGTGTTTGACTTTGAGAATACAGGGCGTATGCTATATGTCTAATCTCCTTGTGACAAATTTTCTGTTCGAGTGACATAACTTTCTCTTTTATTCTTTTAAATGTCATAATAAAGCAAAATGAATTTTAAAGGATCATAGCTACATTATGAACCATTTTGATATGCAGACCATATATTGTGACACATAAAGCATGCTTGGGAAAGGGTAAGAACAGGAAAGGAATTGTTGCAACAGTGAACTAACTACTAGCAAGTGTAATTAAACCCCACATGGTCCTAGCACATAATTCCAGATGACTTGATTTCAGTTTAACTGAAATCCTTATAACTGCATGTTATTAAAAATATCAGGGGGATTGAACTCAGGGCCTCTTGCATGCCAAGCATGGGCTCTACTCCTGAGCTGTACTCTCAGTCTAAATATATTTTTTCATTTAGGGGATGATTAGGTGTTATGACTGAGTAGTGACAACATAAATTGCTGTTTAAAATTCATATGAAGTTGATAATATTCATGGAACTAAATTGTGAAATTATCCTTCAGTCCTTTGAATAATCCTTTGACTTGAAGGAATTAGGTTTTTTCAAATCAAGTGTGGATGTGTATGTTACAACCTGAAACAGATTTTGCCTGGAGACTGGGACTCTGATTAAACTTTGTATGGATCGCAGAGTCTATCATAGCATACTTCACATACTGGGTGCTTAACAAATACTTGCTTATGTGATTTGCAGTGACAGCATCAGTCCTTTGGTCCCAGGTCTTTAATTTGTTCACATACACTAAAAAAGATATTTAAAACTAGAGCAAGGGCTATTATTATTAAAATGTTGACATTATTTATAACAATAAACCTTTTGTTTCATCATTTTAGTGAGTATTAGCTTTTATTCATCTTGGTAAAATGTATTTAGCTGGAACTAAAAGCTTTGGATTTTATTTTAGCCCAAGGATGTGTGTTTAGCCTAGAATGTAGTGAGGAGAAATACTTAAAAGTATTGTCAGTGCAATGTTCTTCTAGTTCTTAGGCAGTGCATATACTGCTAAAATGTTATTTAGTTATTTATTTTTCTTCCCTTCTGACTGCTCTTCCAGGTCCCTTATTTCTCGGGAGTCTCTTGCATCCACGACTTTGAGCCTGACCGAGAGTCAGTCGGCCTTGAGCGTGAAACAAGAGTGGTCTCAGGGCTACAAGACTGTTCCTTTGCTTTCTTCCAACCACGGCTCTCAAAATGGCACAGATCTAGGGGACCTCCTTGGCCTTCCTCCGGGGACTCCCATGTCCAGCAGTAGTGCCTCTAATACATTGCCACCCTACTTTTTTGGCATGGAAAATAGCCACACTTCTTCCTATCCCAGTCCCCGGCACTCCTCCGCCAGGTCACACTCGGCCCGCTCCAAGAAGAGAGCGCTGTCCTTGTCCCCACTGTCGGATGGCATCGGGATAGACTTCAATACCATCATCCGCACCTCGCCTACGTCTTTGGTTGCCTACATCAACGGGTCAAGGGCTTCGCCGGCCAACATGTCCCCGCAGCCAGAGGTGTACGGGCATTTTCTGGGTGTACGCGGCAGCTGCATCCCCCAGCCCTGCGCGGTGCCTGGCGGGCAGAAGGGCATGCTGGTGGCCGGCGGGGGCCTGGCGCTCCCGGCCTATAGCGAGGATGGCGCGCTGGAGTACGAGCGCATGCAGCAGCTGGAGCACTGCAGCCTCCAGCCCGGGCAGGTCAACAACATGGTGGTGCAGCATGGGTTGCGGGGCGCCGATGGCCAGCCGACCAGCATGCTCAAGACCGAGCGCCTGGAGGAGTTCCCAGACAGTGCCCTGGACCTACCCACTGCGCCCCCTCTTCCTCCTCTGCCACCACCCCAAGGCCCACCCCCTCCCTACCATGCCCACCCGCGCCTTCACCACCCAGAGCTCGTGGGCCATGCCAAACCCCTGGCTCTGCCCCAGGCCACCATGGATGAAGAAGGGGATATGGACGATGTCGGCGGCAAGCATTGCTGTCGTTGGATAGACTGTAGTGCCTTGTATGACCAGCAGGAGGAACTTGTGCGGCACATCGAGAAGGTGCACATAGACCAGCGCAAGGGGGAAGACTTCACTTGCTTCTGGGCTGGCTGTCCTCGAAGGTATAAACCCTTCAACGCCCGCTACAAACTGTTGATCCACATGAGAGTCCACTCCGGGGAGAAGCCCAACAAGTGTACGGTGAGTTTCTGAAGCCTGTTGGCGACCTTTCTTGAAGGCCTAGCTTGCCTTTCTCATGTATATATTTTTACAAAATTGGCACACTGGCCGGGATGGTTTCTTTGTGCAGTTTGCATGTTAGGGCTTCCCTGGGACTGGGCGTTTTTACAGCTATAGAAAGGTAATGGTTACTTTAGTGATTGACAGCTGCTAGTTTCTCTACATTTCTAGATTCTCATATGCAACGTAGGAGAAGCCTCTCTCTCTCTCTCTCTCTCTCTCTCTCTCTCTCTCTCTCTCTCTCTCTCTCTGTCTCTGTCTTCTTGGGAAATGTCTGCTGGACACAAACCGGGAGGTGCCATGGATATGCAGGAACAGAGGAAGACATTGTATCACCACTAAATGTCAGCACTTTCCCAAAAGCAAATATACTATCTTTTCTTTTTATCAATAACTGGAGGAGAATTAAGGTAGGAAGCAGCACGATTTGGATATTTAGAGAGGAACTAATCACTTAGCAACTTTCGTAGTTGGAGGTTAGTTAATGGTTTGTAGTCAGCATGAAAACTGCAGAGAATACCACACTGACTGTCACCTGAGTTTAAGCAGAGGAAATTTTATGGGGCGGTATAAAGAAAGAAGAGTATGTGTCTTTGGTGTTGAGAGAAGTGGACCTTCTGTGTCTTTCTCCTTCTTCCTTTTTTCCAAACATCAATCCTGGAATACAATTTTTGTCCTTGGAAAAATTCGCTGTTTTTGAATAATATGATTCTTAAATGATTTCACAAGTTTCACACCTTACAGAAACACTCAGGGTATATAAGCAAGACATCACCCTGGGGATCACAGTGATGGCTTAACACCATCTCAAGACAGCCTACTTACTTCTTGGAAAAGAAGAACATGTGTTTTGTATTAGTTTAGAAGGACAGGAATATTTCTTTAGAGTTCAAATCTAAGAATTCTATATACTCCTTGGATATTCACTATACTAGATATTCCTAAATATGTCATAATGTTTAAATCTGAAAAGGAGTTTATTAGAGCTGTGTTCCCCAACTTGAGTTCCCTTTTTCTATAGTATATCATGATATAAAGAATCGGGACCATGTTTGTGCTTGATCGTAGATTGGCCGAATTTTCTGATTCATGTAAAAAAGCAAACCAAACATGTGGTACCTGTAACACAGTATTAGAAGCACTTTTTTCACTGTCCAGTAGTAAAAAAGTTTTAAGAATTTCTGATAGAATGAAACTGAATTTTTTGGTTGTTGCATTATGTCCCATATTGTGATATTTTTCTGAAAGAAAACCTGAAGCTGTGAGAATGCCAGGTTCTATGAGTGAAAAGAATAATTACATTTCGGAGGCAAAACCTTCCTCTGTCAGTAGGGTTCTGCATTAGAAATGCCCGAAACAGACAAGTAGTTGAAGGCAATTCCATTTACTCTGTTTGGAACACACCAGCCTGTTGCAGGAAGAAAGAGATTCAGTCTCTGAAAGAGAACAGTCCAACCTTTCAGTTCTGACTAATCCTCACTGAAAATAGTTTACTGGATTTGGCTTTACTGAAATAAACCCAAAATCTTGAATTATCAAAAAATTATTTCTGGTTTGCAAAATTAATTTTTATGCAATAGGATTCCCCCATTTTTTCACTGTTTCCAGGCTTTTTAAAGATCTATAACTTTATGAAGTTGAGCTTTGCTGAAGTACATAATGGGTATTAAAAATAGAAATAATTGAATATAGACTGTGAGGTGAATATTTACAGACCTCTGCATAGCTCTTCATTGTACTGTTCAGGGTAAGTACAGGAGGTAATGTTTCTCACCTAATCTGCCTATTCCCTACTTATAGATGGAATCTTTGCAAAATTTGGATTGCTAATATAATAGCATATATCATGTTATAGTGCAAATATATTTATTCAAAGCAGAGTTTCTTAGGAGCCAACTAATGCTGTGACTGTAGTCTGGGACCTACATATTTTTAGCAAGAATGCATCCATTTTCATATAAGCATACTTATAAAGGACCTATGTCATCTGAGGGACCATTCTATTGTTCATATCATCTGCTTGATTTGTGGAGTTATAGCCAACTGGCAGTAAATACGTTTTTTTGTGAAAGCTTAGGTGTCCTCTCAAATTGTAGACAGCAGATAAAAGATATGCACTTAACGTGGCTGCACACTTGAGAAACATGCATTTTTTTTTTATCCTTTGCAAAAATGAATCTTTATACCCTTGGAGTCCAGACACAAAAAATTTTTTAACTGTTTTAAGATCTGAAGTAGTTGATTCAAAACCAAAGATCCCTGTGAAGTAAGACAATCACATTCTTCTTTTAGCCAAGTGATCTTTGTTTTTTTGTGGCTATCTCACATGCTGCCAAGAGAACAGTTTACATATTAAGACCCAGTCCATCTTGTTTTATGTATGTTTAACTGCTATTAATTTCTGTGTGTGATAGGGTTAGTCATCATTTCACTCACTTGGTTTATTGACCCAGGAAAAGAATGATGACCTCTTTGTGTTTGGTGACCATGACTACAGGTAATACAAAGAGCTTCTGGAAATTATAGTAAAAGGAGGATGTGACCCAGGCTACAACTGCTTACAGTAAGAGGCTATCACTGGTGTCCTCCCTTAGTGCCAGATTTCCTTTCTAGCATGGGAGAATGCATTTTTGGAATCTCTGATCATGACTCCCAGCCTTAACCCCAGAGTTCTGGAATGCAGATTACACAAGATTTTAGGTGACTGTGTATTATTTGCTTCAGTTTCTGGAAGAAGATTGGTTCTATTTCTTTTCTCATAGAAATGACCCTATCTTTCTGTAGATCTTGTTCATATTGCTCTTTGGGAAGCCAAACCAGCTGTTCTCTCTGTAGATGTGGCATTATAACCAAGAGATTCTCAGCCAGTGGCAAAAGCCTTGAGAAGTAAAGGCCTCAGAAGACAGCCAGCCAGGCCTGGCTAAATAAGATATGACAATGTTATGTCTAAAGAACACCCTAAGTTTATTCACTGCAGTGTACCACCTAAAGCAGTTTCTAGGTTCCAGATCACTCTATTTCCTACTTCCTGAGATTAAACCAATCCCAAGCCTTGGTAAATCTTAGACTTATCCTAGGTGTTGAACATTCCCAGCTATGTGGAATTCAGTTAAGTTTTTATGAGATCAGAAGGTTCCAGATTCTCAGATCAGACAAGTCATGAAGTATCCAGTTTGTCATTTTTTTCAAACCTCTATGTCATTTTCCAAGGAGTGCATAAAGTGTAACCCCAAACCAGAGAAAGACACAGACCATCTCTAACAGGATCCTTAGTAATGGTTCCACAGGGTGCAGGCAGAGAGGATGCTGCATTTTTCCTCCCCTACATAGAAAGGTGTACAAGGCCGGGTAGTTTCCTGGTAAGGTGTGATCTGAATGAGATCAGACCCGCTCTATTAGTGCCTGTGAAGGAAACGTGTCTGATGAGGAGACAGTGAGCCGGGCCCAGGGTTCTGTTGCCAGGATCAGAAATGATGAGGCTTGCCTTTGTGCGCAATTGAAAGCAGTTCTGCTGGGAGGTTAGGAGTGTTAATAAGGGAATTAGGGGGAATGCGGGTTGCCACTTAAATTTTGCTTGTTTTTCCTGGATGAATTTTGTCCAATAGCAATAAGAAATTTTTCAAAACTTTTACCCACCCACAGATTTTCATGAAAATGTTACTGACCAAAGACAGTTTTGAATTTTGTATGACTTGACTCATTTCTCCGCAGGCATTTCACTTGGCAAAATCCAGAGTACTGTATTTTCCTTGGCTTCAGTGTGGGGCAGTTTGCTTTTTAAGTAACATTGGATTACGAACACAGAAAATAAATACAGATCTGGGGCTGTGTCCTCATTCTTCTTTTATGGCCTGATATATGGGTTCATGAGCCAGCTTTAGCCATGTAGAATATTTCTTGAGGAAAAGTAGGCTGTGAAAAGTCTTCTTTCCACAACCTTTATTTTGTTTTTTGATAGGGTTTGGCATTGATGTGATGGCCAGTTACATGACCAGAAAGGACCTTAGGAAAATACCATTTAACAGTAACAGCTCGTTAACACTTCAAAACTCTCGTATTGGCAAAATGAGTAAAACCTGAAAGTGCCAAATATTGATTAAGGGCATGAGGGAGAGGGACTATGCTGACATTGCTAGAGTGCGTTGGTGTAAGCACAAGGGGATAACTAGTTAGGCTGAACAGGAACATAACCAACAAAACCGGGTCAGATGTCTCCTCTAGAGACCGGCAGTATGGTGGTAGAGATCTGAGAATGATGTTTAATCTGTTTGTATTTTTTTAAAAAATGTGTAAATAACCTAACTATTCACAAATAAGACAAATCAATAAACTTGGTTATTCTTATTAAAGTAATATAAAGAAAAGAATTAGTGAAATTCACAAATGTATCAGCAGGAATAGAAAGAAACAGTATTCAGTGAACACCTGATATGCAAGAGGATATATACCATGTAATATAATGTATGTGCATTTAAACACATAGACAAGTATTATATAATTGCTGTAAATAAACTATATGTAACTAAACAATAAAACTGTGTGGGAAGGTTCACCTTAGGGAAATAATCTTTCTAGAGAGTAAAGGAGGAAGATATATTATTTTTACTGTATCTTCTTTCCAAAGAGAGAGAACAGAATACAGAAGATATTAATTTCTTTGTAAGTTGGTGATAATATAGATGTTATATGTATCTATTACAATAGTCTAGATGCTTTGCTATCTATTTGAAATGTTTTATAATTGTATTTTTACCTGTAAAGTAAAAGAAAATTAATATAGTACTGCAACTCTCTTTTACACATACCATTTTCAGATGAGAATAAAGCCTTTTTATTGATTTTTCCAAGACTATTAAATGGTTTTGCTGTTCCCCACTTAGAATCTCTAAAGCACTGATCTTAATTTGGCTGTGATTTTACTTACCTGGAGAGCTTTGCAGAATACCTATACCGGAATCTCA